ACTCGGCCGGCCCTCATATATTCTTATAATGAAATATTAATTAAATAGAAATTATTAACACTAATGCCTGATAATGACTAAATCTAATGACTGAAATAAATTAAAAATGAGGTTATAAATATGTATATATGTGTGTTTTATAGGTCTGTTTAAAGATCTTAGCTGCTGGACGGCCAAGTGGCTTTTTGGTTGAGAGTTGGCTTGCGAGCACGAGCTCTGAGCAGCAGGTCCGCCGGTTCGGATCCCACATGGGCCAGTGACGCTGCGCCCTCTACAACTAAGATGGTGAATAACAGCTCGACCTCGAGCTGGGCTGCCGTGAGTCGCTGGCGATGGCGTAGGCTGCGGTGGGCTGCCGTAAACTACCGTGAGCTGCTGTGAGCCGCCATGAGCAGCCTTCCAGTGGCCCCCTACCGACTGCCTCAGCTGGGAAGAGTGCAATGATAATATCAACATGGGCCAGTGAAACGACGTCCTTCACAACTAGACTGTAGAACAAAAATATAGCAACTTGTCTGTTCCCCTTCTCCAATTCCCCAACGCTGTCCCCTCCCCCAATTCCCCAATACAATCTAAAATACAATAAAATAAAAAACAGCATTATTGAGAAATAATTCACACACCATACAATTAAAAACAAACATTAGCTGCATGTTTATGGATAAAAAGATAAATATTAAAAACATATACCACTTGTTTTTTAAGTTAAATTTTTTTTCATCGATGTTATCTATGAATACAATGAATAATCAAATGAAAACATGAGAAATCATTAACTTCAAGGAAACCAAGTAGTATAAAAAAGAAATTATATATCATAGCAAGTATATAGTAAGTATCAGCTCTTAATAATATTATATTCAAAATGAATATTCATGTAGCTGAAGGTTTAATATAGGGAAGCTGAAGGGAAGAGAAGTGTACTTTCAGGGAGGCAGGGAGTATAAGAGCTCTAAATTCTCATAGTCCCTATCACTCAGTCCCTTAAAATCTTCCCAGTGGAACTTGTTGTGGAATTCATATATCATGCAGGCAAATCCGATCATCTAGTCCTATTTTGGTTTCCTTGGAGACACCCCACCTGGCATCTTCCTGTCTAGAGTGGGTGCTCACTAGGCCTGCCGAGTAATTGTAATCCTTGGTCTTCACCTCAACGTCATTTTGGATTCCCTTTTCCTCTCTCCAAAGTTTCTGTTTTCTGAATCTCGTGTGTGTGTGTGTGTGTGTGTGTGTGTGTGTGTGTGTGTGTGTGTGTGTGTGTGTGTGTGTGTAAGAGAGTGTGTGTGTGTGTGTCTCATTTGGTATATGCAAGACTAGAAATCATTTTCCTTTAGGTTTTTGAGGAAATTGTTCTCTTATTTTCTCGTTTCCAGTCTTTCTGTTATGCAGTTCGTTGGAATTTTGGTTCTCAGTTCTTTGTGGTGTATTTTTCCTTTTTGGAAGGAAGCTCTTATTTCTCACATTATCACGATGAAGCACCTTGGGATGGGTCTTTTCTATTCAGTATTCTGGGTACTCATTTTGCACTTTCAATCTGGACGTTCATGTGTTTCAGTTTTGGGGAAATTTAAAAAATGTGTATTAATCTCTTTCCCTATGTTTCCTCTATTTTATTTTTCTAACTTCTATGAATTAAATGCTGGATTGTGTTCCAATCCCTTGTTTCTTTTTCAAAAGATGCTTTTCTCCTTTTAAAAATTTCTGTCTTTTGTCCTACTGTCTTGGTAGTTTCTTCAATTTTATCTCCTAGACCTTCTAATTCAGATGAATTTATAATTTTGGTTTTCATAATTTTAATTTCTAGAAATTCATGGGTGATGAATACTTTAAAAAAATAGTGTCCTGTTTTTGTTTCATGAACTTAATGTTTTTGCTTATCTCTCTAAGGATATTATGGTTTAAAATTCATTCTTATCTGCTGTTTTGCCTTCCTCTGTCTTTTTTTTTTTTTT